TTTTAATAAATTGTGATGTAGAAAACTAAATAATTACCAGCATGAGCTTGTGTGAGCATCAGATAAATCTTGCAAATAGTTTTGTGAGATTGAGCAAGAGCCAGCATTTGCTTGTGGTTCAATGCTGCAAGGCCAATGTGAGACATCTGTTTTGCTTCTGCAGGATGTGATAAGGGGTTATTATTTCATTATTATTTGTTCTTTCAAGTAGTAAATGGAAAAATGTATTTACTATACAGTATATTGGTCAGTAGTAAAACTTTTTGGAAGTTATGTACATATGAACGAGCCAGTCAAAGAGCTTTTTTTTATAAATATATAGCAAAGATTCCTAACTCTGCCCATACCCTTAGGAAATCTACTGAAATATGTCAGTTTCATTTGATTAATTGTTAGTAATGTTAGTAATAAGAGAATCTCTCTTCTTGGCCAGTTATTGTCATTTTATTTATATATGTAGAAGTAGTTTTATTAAAGATATATGCATAAACATAATGTCATCTGATGGCAATAGTTTACTACAAATTTTCACAAAAAATAGCCATTAAATGCAAATATGCAGGAAACTTCTGAATACTTAACATAAACCATATTTTTTAGTGAGACTTAGGTCTTGAGATCATGAATATGTTTATAGTAATAATAATGAAAATAATACATAAATACAGCTTTGATAGAACTGTTAGCTACTAGGCTAGAATACATAATTCACAGTTTATCTCCCAAGTATAATTTATAGTGACTTCAATTATTGTTACTTGAGTAACAAATAACACCTAAGGGCCATTAGTTTCCAGCTGATTTAAAACAATGTAAAGCTTATCCATATTCAAAAATCAAATAACTAACCTAACCTTAATCTTTCACCTCTTAACAAACTTTTCTACCAGAATTACATGACTGATTACTGAAAGATGTTTATATTCATATTACTAGATTTGAAAAATTATATCACAAATAGCCCTAACTAATATTGCTGGACTATAAAAACAATAATGAAAATAAAAATAATGATGCTATTAATGATGGAGCTCTAAGCATAAAAATTTTCACTTTATTAAATGGCACTTATGGTGTATGTGACCATTTATTTCAGATGGCTCCAAGTTTAAACTTGAGCAAAGTGCCAATGACACCATTCCGTGTCATGGCTGTAGTAGCAGGGTTTGCTGCTATTTTTCTTGTAATATCAGCCATAAGAACCACTGGCCCACAGCAGAAACTGGGGGCAGTGTTTCACCATGCTTCAGATGCATTCAAGGTTAGTTATTTTTTCACATATTTAGTCCTAACAATAAAGAAGTAATGGCAGTGCACTTTTTTGCACTATTTCCAGGCTAATGGCACTGAACACATCTTTCTTCTTCCTTGCCTCTTTCTCCTTAGCCCTCCTCTCCCTCCTCTCCCTCCTCCTTCTCCCCACTCTCTACCTCATCCTCTTCTTTCCCCTCCTCCTCCTCATCCTCATCCTCCCCCCCCCTCTCCCCCTCACCCCCTCACCCCCTACCTCATCCTCTTCTTTTTCCTCCTCCTCCTCCTCCAACTCCTCCTCCTCCTCCTCGTCTACCTCCTTCTCCTCCTTCTTGGCCTCTTCCTCCTCCTTCTCCTCCTCCTCCTCCTCCTCCTCCTCCTCCTCCTCCCCCCCCCCCCCCCCTACTTCATCCTCTTCTTTCTCCTCCTCCAACTCCTCCTCCTCCTCCTCCTCCTCCTCCTCCTCCTCCTCCTCCTCCTCCTCCCCCCCCCTACCTCATCCTCTTCTTCCTCCTCCTCCTCCTCCTCCTCCTCCTCCCTTTCCTCCTCGTCTACCTCCTCCTCCTCCTCAACCTCCTCCACACGCCTTTTTTATTATTATTATTTATTTGTTTATTTATTTATTTTTATTTTTTTATTATTATTCCTCTTCCTCTCCCTCCTTTTCCTCTCCCTCTTTTTGTCAACGTCCTCCTCCTCCTTATCCTCCTCCTCCTCCTGCTCCTCCTGTTCCTCCTGCTCCTCCTCCTCCTTCACCTCCTCCCCTCATCCCCCTCATCCCCCTCCTCCTCCTCCTCCTCCTCCTCCTCCTCTTCCTCCTCTTTCTTCTTCTTCTTCTTCTTTTCCTTCATTATCTTCTTCCTCCTTATACTATTTCTGCTTCTTCCTGCTCCTCTTGCTCCTCTCTCTCTCTCTCTCTCTCTCTCTCTCTCTCTCTCTCTCTCTCTCTCTCTCTCTCTCTCTCTCTCTCTCTCTCTCTCTCTCTCTCTCTCTCTCCCTCTCCCTCTCCCTCTCCCTCTCCCTCTGCTCTCTTCTCTCTTTCCTCTCTATCTCAAAGTTCCCTCTTTGCCCTCTCCTTATTTTCTCTCAATCACCCATGCTCCCCTTCTCTCTTTCTTCTCCATCTCCCACTTCCCTCTTCTCTCTCCCCTCTCCAATGTTCATCCTCTCCCTCTATGTACAGTCCACTGTCTGAGTCCCTCTACCCCTCCTGGCTGTGAGATTTAAGTGCTTGGCAACTAAGGACAAG